AGACCACTATTAGAATACTGTCCATTTATTATTGGCAGCACTCGCATATATGACAAGCTGAGAGTGGAAAGCGTCCAGTGACATTTCAAGCCCAATCTACTTGAATAGGATTGTACGGAAGACTACATTTTGAGGTGCATATCTCTGGGTCTACACCCACTCTGAACAAGACGGCTTATTATGAACCTGACAATCTTCTTCAAGGTCCTGCACAAATTGTCATTCTCAGACAGTGAGGACACAATTCTCACCGGAAGACTGTTACGATCTGCGTGACCAAACATGCACAGTGACAATATAAGTTTCCCAATTATCACTTCGCGAAACCTTCTTCACACTCATGTATCCTGAATATGGAACAGTTTACCCCTAGAAATCAGAACCTGCCCCTCTGTACAAACTATTGCATTCCACTGACCACATAAACAATAAGGATGCACTATTTGTTTGCAGAACCAATCACACATTGGGACCATTACATATCTAAAGAACGCGTGAAACCTCACTAACTCCACTGGACAAACGATAGTCAGTTTAGTTGCATAAATATGTGAAAAGACAAGTAGAATATCAATACATATACGTAGTAGAGAGAAATGTACAGCATATATATGTAGAAACATTAAGGTGTTACTTATGTCTGCACACTTCGTCTTTTTCCGATACTTTGCTGCTTGCCTCGTCCCTCATTCACCTTGTAGTGGAAGTAGCACAGACCTACAGTATGACTGAAGCTAAGCAGGACCTGAAGACACCTACGTACATATACCACATCACTCTTCAAGCTGTTGGTTCATAATAACTTAACGTCATTGAAAGTTCCCGGGTCGCCCAATGAGGACGCTGGCTGACATTCTGTACGAGTAGTTTTCATGGTCCAAGTTGAAGACACAACTTGTTTCCAAATGGTTATCCACATCTTAATCAACTTACACTCACAGAATGCCATGCAGCTACAAATGGCGGTAACGTGAGACTACGGAGAACTATCAGCCATTTGGTGCAGGAAGGCAATTCCACATGGCTATGCCTGATACTTGTCAGCATGAAGTGTGATTCACTCCTAGTGTCACCGTACGATGATACTCCTGAGAAAATGATACAAATGTACTACTCATATTAAATTAACACACTATCTGTCTATAAATCAAGAATAAGATTCGATGCTGTACACAGCAAAGTTGTGTGGGAGAATCGACATCAATGTTTATATTTTCCTGGGTATTTATGCTACCTATCCAGTGCAGACCTGGAATTTCGTTGATGCGAAGATAATATTTCTGTATTCCATAATGTGCTACATTGACTCACTAGTTAGCAGACTGTTCCTGCTGACTAAAACCGAGAGGAACGGCAACCATGTGTATTCCCCATTAGCAGAGTTTATATGCTCTCAATTGTAAAATCTCCACAATTGAAGAATCGGTATGTCTCCAGATATATAGAAGTATATATTGTAGCATGATCAGTGAAGTACTTCATATGTTATTACAGTACACGTCTAAAACTCAAATAAATAGTTTTATAAATACGGAATAACTTTGTTAGCTATGACGAATACCGAAGTGATTGTGTGCTGAAAGTTGGTCATGAGAGTGGATATGTTCTCACATATTTAGTAACTTTATGGTTAATGCTGCATGAATGCAACATACTTCTAAATACTGCGACAACTTAATCATTGATATAAGTGTAATTGGCTATGATTTAGAAAAATAGACCATGTTGAGAGAAAATAGCATGTTAAGGCTACACTTAGTGTACCTAATTTACCATGAATTTTGCAATAATTATGTAAGAAAGTTAATTTTTCACTGTTCCTGCAATCTAATTACCTGTCTTCCAACAGTCTTACCAATTCGTCACTTCACATTCCAATCTGTCGAATATCCTAGGTGGATACTGTCAATTGTGGAGTATTCCTTGCAAATGATTTATTTCTCCCTAGATTTACTCTTTGTCCCTTCAAGTAATATTAGACTGGTACAACTTCACACATTTTACTACGACTTCACGTGACTTTGAGAGAATATTGGAATATTTGTGGAGTTGTCAATTTTCTATATTTCTTCTTTTCCTTTCACAATCTTTTGTTTCGCTCTATGTTCATGGTGCTGCTTTTTGTGTTGTTTATTCTATTTTATTTTTTTACTGTTAGTTTCATTTTTTTATATTTTGCCTCTTTGGTTTTTCTATTTTGATAATTATCATTTTTTCTGCTGGTTTCGCTGTTGTTTCCTTTTGTCCCTGCTTATCCACGCTAATTTTCATGTTGTATTAAATTTTTAATTTTAATTTTTTGTTTACCTTGTGAAATGTTTGCCCTCCATTTTAATCGTGTTCATGAAGTATCTTTTCTTTCTATTCTCACGGTTTTCGGTGTTCATTTTTCAGTTTTTTTGATTTTGTCTTCTATTTGAAGTCGTCAAATTTTGTGGAACCCTTTATCGGTGTTTGTATCATGGATGCTAATTTTTCGTATATTTTCTTATGCAGCCTTTTTTTATTTTTCTACTCATACTTCGATTTCATATTTTTGGTGTTTTTTCAGCTCATGTGTTGAATTTCGCAATGTTCTGTCTGAATGCTATTTGTTTTTCTATGGTCATTCGGCGATTTTGGAAATATTATTTTGATACATTCCAAGTCTTTATCTGTGAACATGACGATATCAACTGAATATCATTTGCGTTTTTTGATTCTATAAAATTCTTTGAAAGTGGTTTTTCTCCATGGGACAATTTTTTTGCATGAATCATTTAATATATGTTATTCTGCTGTTCGGCATATCAGTTTATGCTAAATATTTGGCAAATTATTATTGGAACTGCTAAATTTATTAGTTTTCTTTGGGAAGGATATTTCCCATAGCTTCAATATTATAACGTTCCACTTAAACGGTTATTTACTTTTTACTACGGTTTCTGATTTTATTGGAAGGTTAATTTTTGTTATTTTATGAGCATTTTAAAATCTCATTTTTACAACTGTAAATATTTATATCCTATTATTATTTGTTCATCGCATTATCTAATTGGTGGATGGTGACTAGCAGTGGAATCCAGGATGCGCATTTCGTCCTATTTGGGACTTGTCAGCACTTCAGTCCAGTCAATCGACGGAAAAATCAAAAATTCAGTTAAATTCATTGCATTATCATTCGACATTCAGTCGAAGCAATGCGTTTCTATTCCCTCAAATATGGAATTTTGTATTGTAAATCAGCAAGAGTGTGATAGAATCGTCGCCAACCACACAGGTGGTCCTGGGTTTGATCCCCGGCCGGCGCACTCCTTTACCTCGCTAAACCAGTAAGAAGACTGGTAGAGAGGGAATGGTAAGTTTAAGGCTAGCAACCCCATCCCGGAAACTTCAAGCTCCTGGCTTGAAACCCTATGTTCTACTGGGAACGTGAAGGAATAATAAATAACAAGTCAGCAGGCATGACTTTATATAACGCAAGCTGTCTAGGCCTATGTGTAATTGTTTATGATTATGAGAGATAAAATATAATTGTATGGAGGATTTAATCATGAGCTGACATCAGTTAGAGAGCCACTGGAAAACCTGGGAGTACTGGACAGCTGTTTCGTCCTAGTTTGGGACTCCTCAGCAGTACACACCCACGGGGATTCGAACCCAGGACCTTCTGGTTACAAGGCGAGCTCGTAGACCATTAAGCCACTGGGACCCGATCCAATGGTCCTTGAATTCTAACTTCTGCCAGTTCACGACATAGCGCGACCACTTCGCAATGTCTTCTTCGATGAGTTACTGCCTCATCTTCAACCTGCTGTACCCTACTGGACACGGCTTCCCACTAGAACCCCAGGTTAACTGCCTGAATAGGGTCAGCCGCTAGTGAGCATCAGATTAATTTTCAAGTACTGGTTTTGTAGGGATTTTGTTTGATTGCATGGAGGATTTAATCATCATATAATTGTAGCATCACCCAATCTTTAACACCTTACCTCTTTGTTTTCTTTGCTGGACCTATCTGGTTTGAAGCTGATTTTCCATAATTTACCCCAACTATATTTATTTATCTGATTTCTATGGATCAACCAAAAGTTGTATATCTTATCCATCGAAAAATTCTTTTTCTTCGTCTAGTAAAAATTCACATATAACAAGAAATGGACAACAAAAACAATAAGAATTAACATCAGTGTGCATATGTACAATGTGTTAGAGTGTGTGTGTGTATGTCTGCATGTTTATACAGTAAAATCAAGGCATAGTCATAGTCACAGGTGGATAACCGTAGGTAGAAATAGTAATGATAATTCATAGCATAGTAGAAGAATTATAATATTGTTAAGAAGAGAAAAAATGAAAACCACATCATTTCTTTTCTGTTTATTTACGTGAGGATCTAACAAACATCTTACCTCTCATCTAGATTATTCGTTGAGTGGTTTTATGCATTGATATGCACTGTGTATTCATTTGATAGAAAGACTAAACAAATGAGTGAATTCATATCCATTGATCTCTTTTGTATATGTATATGTTTGTATTGATTTACGCAAATATAAACAAATTTGTTTTAAACATAAAAAACTATTTTTTTCAGATTTACGCTGATTTAATTGAGATACAGATTTTTACTCATTCTCATAGTTACTGTTACGTATGACTTGAGGATTACAATCACGTAAAATTGGCCCGTGAATAAGAGAGAATGTGTGTAACATTTAGGCATTTAAGACTTCTGTAGTGAGTAAATGAATCCATGGAAAATATTTAGTATTCGTAAAAAAATTGTAGTAATAAGCACAAAAGAATTTTATTTAAGCGCATCATGTCTTTCCTTTGAAAAGATAGGGGGAGTGTGAAACACTGAATGTGAAATATGCAAATGTGAATCTGATCATAAAATTAATCTATCAAAATGCCACCAGATATTCCTTTCAAGTACTTGAAAAGGACGTAATATTCTAAAAAGATTTTATGCTACTTACAAGTAGTTCGCACTACTACCATAAAAAGGTAGACGTATTATATTGTACAGCTTGCTGACAGGCTTTCAGCTCTTGTGAAGTTTAGGAGGTAGTAGTTCACTTTTCAACTGATAATTTTAGTGGAATGACACATATGTTACCGTATCTCAGGTTATTTAGTTATTTTATCGAGTTTTTATAGTTTGTAATTCTGTTTTAAAAATTTCATTTGTATTTTTAGTTTAAACACGAATTAGTTGAATCTCGTTTTTTATAAAATTTCCAATTTTTCATAAATAACTTATAACACATACTATTTGAAGACATTTGCTTGATTTCATTGCGTAAGTCGCTGTTGAGAAAAATAGAATGTTCCACAACTGCTTTATTGTACACACGCTTCAATATAGGCCAAAAGTAATATTCTTCAAATTTCAAATGGGCTGCACGATCGATTAGGATACTGGCCATTTTAGTATCATTGGAAAGAAATTGTCTAAGTGTTGCTGTTTTCAACTTCCCCATGAGACCGTAGTGAAAATCATTCTGCGAACGAATATCTTCTGGTGAATAAGTTGGAAGATACTGCCGTAGGATGAAAGAAGCTTGTCTTAACTTTTGTAACGATGGACATTTAATATGTAAATAATGGAATAATTTTATAATTCTTGGATGTTGAAGCCAATGATACTTCTGTTCATCTGTCCATTCGATAATATGTTGTAGATTTTCAAATAAACTATAATATATTTTAGTTTTCAATCTTGTTTCATGCAGTTTAACCAATAGTTTATCATCACTATCATTACCAACAGCATTTATTTCAAATGAGGATTTAAAACTCAGAGAACAATTATTAACTCTTGAATTCATTTTATAATATTGCTTAGTTGTTTGACGCCATTTATAATCTAAAAGCATTAACCATTGATCTAGTAGTTTTGCTATTGAATGTGATGATAATGGTTTGTTATTAATGATATCATAGTTACTACTACTACTTTTATTCATTAATGAGAACTTTTGAACAATAGTTGAAAGATTTTTAAAAGCTTGTCTGTATTTGTCTAAAGTTATAAAGCTCATAACTAATTCGGTTTGCACAAGATGTACAAGTTTAGTTTTCAATGTTTCACAGTGTTTATAGTTTTCCTTATCATGTAGTGAACGGAAATAATAAGCAGGTGCCTCCAAAATGACTACTTGTTGTGAACCTACTTTCACCGTAGACCTTGATGATGTTATGGAAGTGCTATTTTGAGAGTTTGACTCATGAATACTATTGTCTGCTGTAGTGACGAACTGATTCAAATTTTCTGTATGAATTGAAATAAATCGTTGATAATCTGGAGTATTACTATATGTTTTATTATAAGCTTTCACTAAACTTGGTTGAACACCGTAAACTTGCCAAGTTGCTTCAGGTTGCCATAGCCAGTGTGTCCAACCAGAAGCTAATGCATTCGACTCTTCATCAGCTACGTTTAAAGTCGGATATCTTCTGCTAATTCCAGTTGTTTGCTTGAGAAGACTAGATTCAGGAGATTCCAATGACATACTGTTGCTATCGCCTTCGAATGATTCATGTTCAAAGCCTATTCCGTATCTTGACACTCTTAAACGCCATTCACAGTTATCCGTAATTGTCTGGTTGATGATACGCTGTGTAAGTAAGACAAAAAAAGACTGACGATCATAATAACAAAGTTACACATATATTCCAATTCTTAGACCTAAATTTAATTAATGTCTAGCGCACAAAATAAACTTTTACAAAGTCAATTAGTTGCACAGTTACTGGACGGTTCAAGTACTGTCTACTGGACATGTTCTGCTGATGTATTGGTCGAAGATATATAGCCTCAGTGTTCCGGTTGCTACAACAAATTATTCTCACCAAAAACATATTATGTTTTTTCCTTTACTTTTGTTATACAACCTTCCACGACTTCTGGTCATGTTATTTTCATCTTTACTGTTCTCCTCTATTACTTTCTGTCACAAGGAGCATATATAACACCTGGAACTGCTATGTTTGCTATCTCTAAAATGTTAAATGTCATTTGACGACATCCGACAACCACCCGTATGTGCACACTGCTGACTATACAAGACTGTCTGCATCCAGAGGCAACACCATTTAAATAATATTGATCTCTTTAGAAGTGTAAATGATACACATCATCACTGAAAAAGTGCTACAATCTTGGAAAACTAAGTTTAATAGCTGAGGTATACTATGAATCATACATCAGATGTTCCCATACCATTCATTTTTTCTTGAACAAAGTCTATTGATGTAACACATGTTTTTATGAGACAGTATCCTGTTCATATAGTCCCTTCCGACTCACCTACTTTAACACTGACAACAGAGTTCTGAAGAAATTTCAAGTTTGCCATGAAATATTCACCTCCTTACTCAATAACCTTTTTAAAATTCATCTTTGAAACTCAATCAGGTAGTTAGTTTTTATAATTCAAGTAAATATTCCCATTATTTAAATAATATTACATATAACAGATTAAATTACCTCTGCATAAACTGTTCCGTTCGGATACATACAGATGCATATATTTTTAGCAAATTTACGAAGAATTAATCTTGATCCATTGCGTGGATGCAATAACATCAGTAACTGTTCTTTATTCATTGACGCTGACCACTTTACAATAACTGAAACTGTAATCATAGCTGTTTGGATGAAAAATAGAAAATACAAAACATCTAAGATGTATTAACAGGAAGTTAAGTCACGCAAAATATATTGTGATGGGCTACATATAAACAGGTCTAAGCCGTACGTCGAGTAACATGTTCAGACAAGCAATGGTAATTTGTGTGTAACTAGATTAGGCCAGAATTACGTGACAGTACTGGCAGGAATCCACTAAGAAGCAGGCAAATTAAGTATTCTGAATATTGGTCAATTGCTCCGTTAATATGAGGTTTATGATCTTCTTTATGCACATTGTATTTTGTCACAGTAAACATTGTTTCTGGCAGCACGAGTCTTGTTCAACCCAATGAATATCATTTGGAATTCCCAGTAAAATTTCAAATTGCTTTCAAAGTCGATTTCACCGCTTTCATTCATTTGTTAAAAATGACTTTGATGCTTTAGCAAAGTGATTAGAAATTTCGTGAACCAACATAGAATAATTTTACTGGTGAACCTAGTAAATTATTACTTCTTTTACTTCATGATCAGTATCATCATTAAGTATTCAGACAAAAGAGTTTATTTGTAATCTTTCCTTAACAAATTATCGTGTTCTAGGAATATCAGTGTATTTGTTCAAGTGTTTTTGTTTAAACTTCACTGTAAGTTGATTCATAGACTCGTTTGGTTGGTTACCTCCTTTTAAATCTTCATTTTATAATCCTACAGTACATTGAAAGCTTATATCATAGACTTATTTTAACCCAAATCTTTAAAATGCATTGCAGAATACCAAAGACTGGAGATTTGTTTGCTGGTCATTCGTTTAAATCAGTCACACCTAAAATAGATTTTAAAAAATTGTTTAGTATCCCTAAAAACTAACTTCGTAATAGCGTTTTTCATAATGTCTCCATATCTTCTATAATTACATAGATTTTTTCTATGTAAAGCTGTCAGGGGGGTGAACTAAGGAATTTAGTTGGCGAATACCTGTGACATGATGAGTATATTGTTTGCATACCTAGACCAAAGACAAGCAGGTATTACTTACTGATAGAAACTGTTTCAATTTTCTATGCTAAATCAAGAACAGATATTAACATTTTCTAGTAGACCACGTTTTTAAGCACCACCCGTTATGGCTGCGCAAAAGATTGACTAAAGCCACGTGTGGTCCGCGTTATCGATACCGGGACAACAAGTCAACACTAGCAGAGCTTTAAGAGTTATTTTTTTTCATCTAGCTTCTTCTGTACTCTGCAGTCCTACTTTACCATTCAAAAGAGACAGTTAGGATTTAATTGAATGAGCCATATCTGTGGGTTCAGAAGGAATTCGTACACATTCTTTGCCTTGACCATTTACATAACACCTTGTAACCGTTACAAAAGATATATGTAACATGTTAATAATATCTCCGTTATTGCGCTATTTGTTTGATCTTAATATTTAGTTGGCTTTTCTTACGTAATTAATAACCGGTTCATTTACAACTTTTTCCTATTTAATATTATCTTACGAGCTATCGATTATGCAATATCCTATGATTAGCTTCCACAGATCTGTATAATTGCATTAGATGACTCAATCCTTAACAACAATGACTTTAATTTCCATAATTATTATTACCCCTCCTTTACTTTGAAATGGATATTGAGTAACACAACAGTGTTTGAATGATATAATATCGATACAAGGTCTTAAAAAGCTACATATTAATGCAGAATCGTTGATGAAGAACTAATTGAAAAAGGAATATGTCTTCGTTCAGTTTAGTGTCTGCTAAATTTCTTAACTGTTCTTGTATGAAAAGATTTTTACGTAACACCGACTAGGAAAAAATCTGTTAAACACTGAACTGTAACAATTTATTGGTGATCAGTTTAACTGTTACTGTGCATATTTATGTCATTTACAGTGTAACAGTATTATTTTCACACAAACACACTACGTAGAATTCACCATACTAACTCAGTAATGTAAAGGTAGCAGTCCTGTAACTGAAAATATACCATTTTCGAATAGGCTGTCAATTTTCAAGTAGTAAGAACTGTTAAAACGCTGTATAAGTTCTTAAATAATATCCTCCATGATTATTAGATGTGACTATGAAATTAATTATCGCCTGAATTCTAATTAACCACATTAAGATCACTGGATAACCAGTTCAAATGACTAAGTATCCCTGACTCAGATTATTTCGATAATTGTTCAGTATTCGTTTCACCCGAGTTTACATCCCTTTCTAACATCCACACATTCTGTGAAATATTCTGTATGTGATATTATTTATTTTGCCACTTGATATTTAACTATGATTATGATCACAAACATTTTAATTGGATTTCATATTATTTTAGATATTTTAGGTAAGTACCCTGGTTTAAATCTCCTCACAAGATATAATTTCATCACTCAATAAATTCGTGGAATTGCTCCCCTTCGCTAAACAGTATATTCTTGTTATTGCAATCGGAATTGATAAATTAATTCATAAAATATTTCATGAAATGTAAAAACCTCAAAGCAAAATGTAGAAGTAATAAGGCTAGAAGTTATTTAAAACATTACAAAAGGTGATACTCATGATGAGACAACATTACAGAACTATGATATATATTATTATTATTATTATTATTATTATTATTAGTGAGTTAACTAAACAAGAGTGGCAAGTGAGATAATACTGGAAACTCTTCAAAATGAAATTAATAATAACAATCAAGATAGTGAGGGAAGGATACGCAAACTGAATAAATAAAACGTAAAATAAATTGAGTCAAACTTAGAGTAGGAATTATAATATTTCAGCGTAGTCGGGCTATGATAGGAGTGATTGAACAAACTTCTTCTGTACACAAGGCTTTGGTGTTTCTTATATCGATCTCGAAAGCTTCAGCGCTACACGTAAGTTGGATTGACAGCGATTTGCACAGGTTATGTTACGCTTTGTAGACTTTAAAAGAAGATGCTGTAGAAATATGGTGACAGATACCGACTAGATTTTCAATTATTGCGCTTCTTATAGCTCCACTTTAGCCCCTTAATGACAATGCAGGACAGTGTTCCTGCACCCTCTTGGACAAAGTCTACATCGAACGGCCGAGGTACCTAGCTCCACTAGAGCATTAAACTAATTAACGCATAAAGAGTTGGTCAGCTATGGGATCATGTTATTAAACAGTAACCGTTGACTATAAAACACTTTTCCCAACGATGCTGCAGCGAATGTTCTTTTCAGGTACTTCGTAATCCTTCTTTTATTGATGTCAGTAGCTCTGTTTATTTTTCATTCTGTTTGCTCAACCTGTATGTTCTTGATTGTTATATACGTTTCCGATATTATCTCAGTTGCCACTCTTGTTTAGTTAACTCACTAATAATAATAATAATATATATCATAGTTCTGTAATGTTGTCTCATCATGAGTATCACCTTTTGTAATGTTTTAAATAACTTCTAGCCTTATTACTTCTACATTTTGCTTTGAGGTTTTTACATTTCATGAAATATTTTATGAATTAATTTATCAATTCCGATTGCAATAACAAGAATATACTGTTTAGCGAAGGGGAGCAATTCCACGAATTTATTGAGTGATGAAATTATATCTTGTGAGGAGATTTAAACCAGGGTACTTACCTAAAATATCTATAATAATATGAAAAGCAATGCAATTTCCTAAAGCTTTTGAAAACACCCAAGGGACACATTTATGGATGAATTTGAGATCATAATCAGAGTATTATTATGATTCCTTTGATTTCAGAGTGAAACATAGGACTTTTGCTGCACTTTTCCAAATAATCCTGTTCACTGGGTTCCTCTAAAACTAGCTGCACGATTTTCCATAAGCTCTCATCCCTTCCTCATACGAATACTAACACGAAAACCCAGACGCCCAAATCAACCTTAACTTTTCTGTTTCCACTCGATAGCAGGAAGCTCAACTATGCTCCACTGTATCCCAAGAGTATCCGACCCATCTACATTTCCTTTAAGAATATTCGTTAGGCAGAAAATTGTTGATCGGTTCGCTGTCAGAGCTCCTTCATCATAATCCTTTATGATCATCCAATCGTCATTGTCGATCCAACGAAGACAGCACTTGACGAAAGCCTGCATCAGCCTGTTGCAAATGCCCTCAGTGACTCACTCATCCATAGAGAAGAACTGACTTCACATTAATGCTGAAAATCCGATTCCTGTTGTTTATGTTGAGTACAAAAGATTTACACAACAATGATTTCAGATTGATGAAGGCGTATCTTGTCTCTCCAATTCTGATGGCTTTGACATATTCATCCGTTCCACCTGTGGTTGAAAGGATGCTGCCTGACTAGAAAAGTGCCGGAAATGATATCTTTCAAATTTCTCCCGTTGATGCTGATTGGTGCTGGTTGTTGCTGCTTTTGCTGTTAGTTAGTTGGTTATATTCATCCTGTCTGTCTATTCTTTGTTCACCTGGAGACTTGTCCCTACTGCCAGCCTCCGCAGTCCTTCACGTTCTCATTGGAACATAGGGCTTCAAGCTTTTGGCTTGAAGTTTCCGTAGTAGTGTTTATTTTTGCAGGATGGGGTTGCTAGCCTCATACCCAACCTTTCCTATTTACTAGCATCATTTCTGGCTCAGCGAAGTAAAGGAATGTGTCAGCCGGATCGAACCCCGGAACATGTGCATGGTCAGCGGGCGTCCTAACCGCTATACCACCGACGCAGCTTCTTCAGTCACTTTCCTGGTTTTCACCTTCAAGTCTTCGAGTTTGTGTGACAATAAACATAAGTCATAGGCGAAATCCAGATCTTCTAGAGTCTTCTCACCGGTCAGTGCAGCGTATTCCCGTCTTTCACTCCCATTGCACAGCATGACTCATGATCAAGTCCACCACAATTAGAAACATCAACTGAGATAGTAGGCAGTGTGTGGCCTTACACCCTCCTGAACTTCAACGGCTTCGTTCAGTTTCTTCTTACGGATCACTGGACATATGGCACTGTCATGTAGCTATGGTTGAATGAGGTTGATAAA